GTCCAGCAGTGCGCACCCACGACTCCTGCACTTCGCAGGATCCTAACCATGGACCTTCGGTATTGCGCGCGAACGCCTAACCATCGGACCACTGAGCCGGTATCTAACGGTGTTAATGTCTAACTTGATCAATTCACGGAGTTGCGCAACCTCATACACAGTCTTCGGTAGTAGTTACTGTCTACACCCGAACAGGTTGAACTTCACTGGTCACGTCTTCCCACTAGAACTCGGAGAAGATTCCTCACGAAGCTAGTCACTAGTGAGCACAGGTTGTAGTGAATGAGAACATAGGTGGAGGCAACCGAATTGTATTTAACGAAAATTACAGAGTTACTCAGTAAAATCGGAAAACCATATCGTAAATCGTTCATTTGCAAAAGATCAGTTCATCCTATGGAACTGGACTGTTCCTGTTGCCAACATCAATCCATTGTCACTCTTCATGCGTTTCATACAAATTCCATTGTTTTCTGACTCTTCCTTTCTTGATCTTCCCCCCCCTATTATGCTACCAGACTTTACGTTGACACTCACGCTATATACTACTTATAAGTAGTTCGCACCACAGCACCACAAGGTAATTGGATTACGGGGTTGTGAAGATTGTTAAGTTACACAATTTTGAAACCATGAATCAATCAGTATTAGACCACCATTCGAAACTTGGAAGATGCACTGGACGGCCGTTTCGTCCTGGTATGGGACTCCTCAGCTGTGCGCATCCACGACTCCTGCACCTCGCAGGATTCGAACACAGGACCTTCGGTATTGTGCGCGAACGCCAAACTATCGGACCACTGGGCCGGCATGGTTCCAGAAATGTGTAACTTAACAATCTTCACAACCACGTAAAGCAAACTGTAATTCATTTCGTGTTTTTTTCCGAATAATGTGTATTAGCTGATAATAACTATCTATTGAAATTTTGATGACTGTTAATGGTGTTTTCTGAAAATAGAGAAAGTTTAAAATGTCGATAGCAATCTATCACACTGATCGTCAACTAAATTTCTACTTTCGTTACTCACTACTAGTATGATGATGATTATGATATAGAAACTCATACAACATTGACATGTATGAAACATTAAACGCACATCATAACTAGTTGTTTTCTAATAATACTACTTGCCTTTTCTACCCACACATGCGCGCACACACACACAAACAAGCACAAATACATGGTGAATGATGAATACACATGAGCACACTTGGAAGTATTGACGTTCCAATGCTTGAGTAAAACTAACTAAACTACACTACACTACACTACACTACACTACACATTAGAACAGTGTAATAATGTTTATGACAAGAAAAGAAAAAACTAAAAAAAAACAAAAGAGTAAATATGGCAGTTGATATTTTTAAAACTAGAATTCGCCTGTATTTATTATTGGCTCAATACAGATCATCAACATCGATAGCCATATATGGTTGTTTAAATAAGGCAATAAATATAAACTGCACTTTTGATGTAACAACTCATTCTGTAACCTCAGCATATCGTTTGGTTTTGAGAGAGAACAAGAATTTGATCCACTGAAGTTGCCCTACTTAACTCAGCTAGTTTATTCAAACCGAAAAAATGGCAGAGGATGAGATAAGTGCATTGGTAATTGATAATGGATCTGGTATGTGTAAAGCTGGATTCGCTGGTGATGATGCACCGAGAGCTGTGTTCCCGTCAATTGTTGGTCGTCCAAGACATCAGGGAGTTATGGTTGGTATGGGACAAAAAGATAGTTATGTTGGTGATGAAGCCCAGTCGAAAAGAGGTATTCTAACATTGAAATATCCTATTGAACATGGGATTGTTTCTAATTGGGACGATATGGAGAAGATATGGCATCATACATTTTACAATGAACTACGTGTAGCTCCAGAAGAACATCCTGTCCTATTGACTGAAGCACCAATGAATCCAAAGGCAAATCGTGAGAAGATGACACAGATCATGTTTGAAACATTCAATAGTCCAGCTATGTATGTCGCTATTCAAGCAGTTTTATCTTTGTATGCATCTGGTCGTACTACGGGTATTGTGTTGGATTCAGGAGATGGTGTAAGTCATACTGTTCCCATTTATGAGGGGTATGCTCTACCACATGCAATTCTCCGTCTTGATTTGGCTGGCCGTGACTTAACTGATTATCTTATGAAAATATTAACTGAACGTGGTCATTCATTTACCACTACTGCTGAACGTGAAATTGTTCGTGATATCAAAGAGAAACTTTGCTATGTTGCCTTGGATTTCGATCAAGAAATGGGTACTGCTTCACATAGTTCATCTCTTGAAAAGAGTTATGAATTACCTGATGGGCAAGTGATTACAATTGGTAATGAACGTTTCCGATGTCCTGAAGCAATGTTGCAACCAAGTTTCTTAGGAATGGAATGTGCTGGTATTCATGAAACCACCTACAGTTCTATTATGAAATGTGATGTTGATATTCGTAAAGATTTATATTCAAATATTGTCCTATCTGGTGGTTCTACTATGTTCCCTGGTATTTCAGATCGTATGCAAAAAGAGATTTGTAATCTTGCACCGACTACAATGAAAATTAAGATTGTTGCACCACCTGAACGTAAATACTCTGTATGGATTGGTGGGTCTATATTAGCGTCATTATCTACATTCAATCAAATGTGGATAACTAAACAAGAATATGATGAATCTGGTCCAGGTATTGTACATCGTAAATGTTTCTAATTCAATTTAACCATTGTACATTTTGTGCTTGTTGCATACATTCTTGTCTTTCTTCCTTTTTTTATAGAACAATAATTTTATTCAATCTTGTCTAAATAAATTATGATTTCTTTTTTTCATAAACTATTGTTAATTAGACTGAAATTTTACTTTATCATTAAATTCATGTCAAAAGATGGTGTTTTGTTTTGGTTTGCTTTAAATTATACGTTTTTCGAAATATTTCAATGAAAGCCATGTTAAGTATATACATATATATGATCTTTCGAATTTAAGTTAATTCACATATCAATGATACGATCTTCTGTTATATAAGAATGACGTAATCGTAAGATAAATAAAATCAATATCATTGTCAGCTTGAGTAACAGTTCGAAACTAATCAATAACGTACTGATTTGAGTAGGACTCATTATATTTACTGAAAACGAAACCAAACAAGAAATCTTTACAACACCGATTAAGTTATGAACCTTTAGATTTAAGTTTAATGTTTTTACATTAAGAAAATCATTTATAAGATTGTACCATGTCATAGAATTTTAGTCATCGTTTAAAATTACTCAAACCCTAATGTTATTGACTCATATACTACGGTGTGTTGGATACTGTTTTAAAAGAATCTAATTTTTCGAAATAAGTTAGTCGATTTCGTTTAATAAATCTGTCATCGTAGTTTAATTGTGTAATTTGATCAATCTGTCTGCCTATTAGTCCACAGATAATAATAATAATAATTTTACCCACTTAGAACTATAAATCAGGAGACAAATTTGTCAGTAAATTAAATTATCATATCAAGTTATCAAATGTAGCAGCTCCTGTATCTACTAAAAATTGGGCACCTGTTATTCTGTCTTGAATGTAAAATAGACGACTGTTTTTTTGGAGTTGTGCCAGTTGTCGCAGCCGTTACCGGCAACTGGCGGGATTGTTTCTCTGTTGTATTATTTTAAAATCTGCATGGTGGTCTGAATTTTTTAGCTTGGTTGCCGTACGTCTGGTGATACCAGCATGACGTAGGTGTAGCACGTGTGAGAGTGTGATCAATATTTGTCGTGCGACCTAATTCGTGATCGACTTTTTGGTCTCTCTCTCTGATTTGACCCGGATAACGTTTGAGATATATTGCCAATCTCTCTTTTCAACTCTTCAATTTCAGGATTATCTGTGGTATGATGTATGTGTGGACTCGGTATTTCCATTCTTTCATAGATCTTATCAGCTATTTCCACAATATGATCTATGTCTACTTCTTCATCCTCAATTGCAAGGATTTGCTGAATATTTTGAGGGCGTCGCCAGAGCCACAACGGATAAAACATGTTGCTGTTCATCTTTCTGTCGCCTATTATGCTCCTCATGTAATTTTTAAGGTGTGACGGAGTCCTATCACCTAGTTCTACTCGGTTGAGAAGTCAGTCTAGAGCTTGTTGGTCGGTTAGCGAAACGGCCTTTATCACGGCAGTTTTCAATAGGTCGTATGGCCTTTCTGCATCCGGTTTAGCTAAAACATCGCGAACACAGTCTGCTACTTAATCCGGGAACAGTGCACATGCGTAGCCGAATTTATCTCGTTGTAAAACAATACGATTAACTGAGAGGTAACTTTCAAGCCTAATAAACCATAGGTGTGGGTCGGTGACTCAAAAAGGAGGAATAGATAGATTAAGGAACTTCACAGACACTACTTTTGAAGACTCGGTGTATTGTGATTAGATGCTACACTATAGTTCTAATTTATTTGAATTACTGGAGCTCTTCTGGGGTTATTGCTAGTCCCAAGCCCGGATAAAAGAGGAGGGTTGGGTATGGGGTTAAAGACTCCATCCCGTAGAAATCTAACTTCATTACGGGTAACAGGTGTAAATAACTCGGTGCTGTATCATCAAATCGTTTTAAATTTCAAATGATTATCAGTAGCAGCAGTTTTTTAATAGAATCCGCTTCGGATGTGCAAATAAGTACATATTATTAGTACAGGGTTTCGTGAAAACTATAGAATTTTTATAGTATTGTATCGCGAACTGATATCCAAGCTTGAGTATTATTGAAAACCTGGAAGCGTATCCAAAAATCCTATACTAGCTTGAAGCTGTAATTCCTGAAGTTTCAAGAAGAAACCGTGACCAGTGGAGTTCAATAATGAAGTGTGTATGACCATGAACCACAACAGCTGATGAAAGATGTTAGAAGAATGTGTTTATTTGATTAAGACTAAACATGTACACTATTGGGAATCCTGCTAACTGATCTGATCTGGTTCAGCTTGCAGTTATGAAACTAAATGAATTCGATCCTCTATAGCAGGATTGTGGATGTGCATTTTTCCAAGCAGTCCCATGCTAGGACGGAATAGCTTTCCGAGGTTACTTGTTTTCCACTGGTAGTCTAGCTAGGTATGACCGATTCATTATTTTAACCATGTAAATGTATATTACTTAAGATTAGAGCTTAAACATATTGTAGTGAACGAGAACATAGGTGGGGCAACCGGATTGTATTTAACCGAAATTACAGAGTTACTCAGTAAAATAGGAAAACCATATCGTAAATCGTTAATTTGCAAAATATCAGTCCATCATATCGAACTGGACTGTTCCTGTTGCAAAACATCAATCCATTGTCACTATTCATGCGTTTCATACAAATTCCATTGTGTTCCCACTCTTCCTTTCTTGATCTTCCCCCATCTTCTGCTGCCAGACATTACGTTGACACTCACATCATATACTACTTATAAGTAGCTCGCACCACAATATCACTCATCTTCAGCATCCTCATTTAATTCCTGTATTACAAACAACTAATCAGTAGTTAGTATCTAGTAAGTATTCTTCATATGAAACGAAACTAGAATGCAATTTATCTTCAAAATCTATTCAGTTAATACTGACAACAACAAATGTGAGTAGCAAGTATGATTGTTCACATTTATTTTCAAAATAAACTGTACTTATTTGAAAGTAAGAAATTTTCATGCTTATTACATACAACATACAACATACAATAGAATTTGTCAAACAAACAAAGAAAATGATGGTATTTTAACATTTCGGTAAATGATTTTTATATGTATATATAGTCTAAAAAATATTATTATTATTATCTTACTACAATGGTTTTTTTGATTGATCAGCAGCCTATTGATATCTGAAAACATTGAATCGATTATCGTTTTTTGATATTCCTTTGTCAACTGTTTTTTAAAATTTGAATGCAAGTTGTTGTTGTAGTGTTTAGAAAAGAGATGAGCAGCGCAATTCATATCATCGATCAATCAATGAATAACAAGTAACAGATTTCTTTAGTAAGTTAACAGTTAATTTCTATCCATCAACCACTGTAGTGAACGAGAACACAGGTGGGGCAACCGGATTGTATTTAACGAAAATTACAGAGTTACTCAGTAAAATCGGAAAACCATATCGTAAATCATTAATTTACAAAATATCACTCCATCATATCGAACTGAACTGTTCCTGTTGCCAAACATCAATCGATTGTCACTATTCATGCTATTTCATACAAATTCCATTGTGTTCATCTAACTCTTCCTTTCTTGATCTTCCCCCATCTTCTGCTGCCAGACATTACGTTGACGCTCACTCATATACTACTATAAGTAGCTCACACTACACCACCTCCAGAATTTTGTTTTAATCTTTCAATTATTCTTGTTTTAAAATTATAAACTATTCAATTTTTTTAATCAACGTTACAAAACTCTGATTATCTATTGTTTTTATTAATAAAACATGGAAAAATGTTGTCTTCCCATTAGACAGATCTTACAATCGGCTCTATTGCGTATATATATATATATATCTGTATAAACACTGATGTCATTAAACTCATGAGGGGAGTTTCTGAGTCAATGGTAACAATGGGATCGATTACTTACTTACTTACTTTCGCCTGTTACCCACAATGGAGCATAGGTCGCCGACTAGTTTACTCCAACCAACTCTGTCCTGGGCTTCCCTTTCTAATTCTGTCCAATTTTTGTTCATTCTTCTCATATCTTTCTCTATTTCTCGGCGTAATGTGTTCCTTGGCCTTTCTCCTTTCCTTTTGCCCTGAGGGTTCCAAGTGAGGGCTTGTCTTGTGACGCAGTTAGGTGCTTTTCGTAATGTGTATCCGATCCACTTCCACCGCTTCTTCCCGATTTCCTCCTCCACTGGAATCTGGTTTGTTCTCTCCCACAGTAGGTTGTTGCTGATCTTGTCTGGCTAACGAATCCGAAGTATTTTGCGTGGACAACTTTTAATAAACACTTGTTATGGGTTGGATTGCATAAATCAATATTAAAAAGTACAAGTCGATAGTTTATGATCACATGTATATACTAGTTGTGACAGATTTAATAAAAGCCCCAAGTTCATATTTCATAAAAGGAATTAGGTGGTAGTAGGCGAACAATTCGGTAAAAATAGACACAATGAAAATGAAATGAAACTCATTAAAAATTAATTCAAATAATTCAATTGTAAAGAATAGATTTGAAAAGATGTTGAAGAAAAGTAACTGAACAAGAAGATGTACGTATACAAAGAATAATAAACAAGCAAACTAATGAGATGAGGTTGTTTCGCATTCTTTATGAATGTTCGAACCTTGTTAACATTTAATATGTGTAAGAAACTAGGTCAAACCACATAAGGAGAGGTGTTAAATATCAATAAATCTTTTTAAGTGATTTATTTCTGTCTACTACGTGACCACGGCCTATGCTCGTTTGGGGGTAACAGGCTTAAGTAAGTAAGTAACTACGTGACCACTATCGATCAAGTATAACAACAGAGTGGAACTGCATATTTATTCGGTTATATCCTTTCCCAACTACGAATGAAGATATTCATTAACTTGTTGACCAAATTGTCTAGTTACATGCTTGATCTAGTAGTATTCTCCTGTTAGGATATTAATCCAATATCCTAAGAGAATTATTGGTCAATTCCTATTGGTTAATTCCTACTGGTCAATTTTATGGTCGTCCTAGATATCAATGTCACGTGCTCCAATGTTGTTTCTTATTGCTTGTCCTGACTATCAATGTCATTTCAAATGTTGCTTCCTATTGGTCGTCTTAACTTTCAATGTCACAGACGTCGTTGCTATTTCCTATTCGATCAAAATGTATAAATACTCATTATCTGTAACGTTTTAT